AAGGACCTCAGTAATATGGTTGCTGTTGGTACGTCATGTCATGTCACCCCACCACAATGAGGTGGGCAGCCACTGATGGAGATAGGTTGGCGCCGACAGAACGTCCAGGCTTATGCTAGGGCACTATAGAGGAAGGAAGCAGTGGGTTTGACGCGGCGTCAGTATGTTCTCTACCAACTGTGGTCGCCTGCCAGCTCCCACGACTGGTGGATCATATGCCGGCGCCAAACCCACCGCCCCCCCCCCCTCGTACAGCGTCTGCAGCGAACAAGAGTGCATGTGCCGCCCCAACGCCTGAACGCCTTCACCCAACGCTCCGATAAGCAGCGTACACTTGGTCATATTCTTAACTTGTCTGAAATGAACTCACGTTGATCCAAAGCACTGGACCAGTTTTGTACATCACAAAACGATCGCTTTTCGAGAGATTTTCGCTGCACTCCAAGTTGCACTCCTTGGAAAACCATTCGGCGTACAACTTCAGTCTCGTCGGTGAACCACCTGTGCATACGAACTGAAAATGAACTCATAACCGCCATACCATGCCGGCTCTAGCAATGAAGATTCCTTAGGCTAGCGTAGCTGGGGACCGGTCAGTAGCGCGGCAGTAAACACCCATATTGCACTCCATTGGCGCTCCCTCAGCATGATAGCATCTTGCGGGGCATGGTTGGGAACGATGAGTGCGCAGACGAGCTCAGAGTGGGCGCTACCCTATCCGGTGCCCCGTCCCGACTCCACGAGCGCCCGTTCTTTGCTACACAAATCGATAATTCCTGTACTATCGCTTAGGTCGCGCTCATACTTTATGGCAGCGTCCATCACTGACCAGCAGCGCCTCGACGACTGGGGAAGTATAGGTAACGATCTAGAGGAGATTATGGGGCGATAGCTCACATTCTCTACCAGCAGTCTGCTGCCCTCGTATTTCCCCATATTGTACCGGCTGTCTGCTACCCTCCTATCGCTCCATGCCCTCTTCTCCTGGACGCTACTGGACGCCGGTGGACGCTGCTAGTAGCTGGATCAATATCTATACTGCTAGTAGCTGGATCAAT